CTCTCCGGAGGGGCGACGGGTTCGTCTGTAGCCTGGGGAGAGGGGGAAAGGGGGGAAAGGGGTCGGAGTCGGAGAAGAGGAAACAGACAAGGAGGGGGAAAGAGGGGAAGAGAGCGCTAAGTATAGGCCAGGAGGAGGCGGGGGGGTTGAAAGAGCATCGAAGGACAAAGCAGGTGAAAATCACAGAGCAACATCCTCCAGAGAGTGCAAGGGGGGGGGAAGCTGGCTAAAAGGGAGGCACCGAGTGGCAAGGGAAAGGGGATAGTGACGGAATAAAGACACCCTCAAGGCAGGGGACTCAATGTGGTGCCTGGTGGCAGGAAGAAGAGGGTGCCAGCAGGAACAGAGACGTCCGTGTCGACCCAGCGTCTGCCTGCCGCACCAAAACATTTGGGAAAGGTGTGTCTCAACAACACACCAATGGGCCAGGACGCTTGGGAGTTTGGGTTGAGACGGCAGCCGCCCGCCCGGCTCCTGTTCTCAGCGTCTGCCGCACAGGCACCCTCAAAATGGACATCCTGCGATGGCTCGGTGGTGCTGCTCGGCGTCCCAAGCTTTGGGACGTCCCGGGAATGAAGCTGCGCCCTTCGAACTGGATTCCAGGAGCGCCCCTCGCAGGCAGACGCGGCCCAAACCGGAGCAGCCTCAGGGTGCTCGGCTCTGCTCGGCTGAGGTCCCGGAGAAAAGCCGGCCAGTTTCGTACCCAGATCTGGGGCAAAGGCTGGCACTCACGCCTGGCCTCCATCAATGGCCTTTTGCACATCCCAGGGTTTGCAAAAACAAAAACAAAACCCCAAAAAACATACACTCTATTTTATTTTTTATTATTTTGGACAGTCCGTTGTCCTCCCACAATTCCCACATTATCCCGCTGGGAGAGTCTGAGAGCCAGAGTCCAGAAAAGCACGTTTTCCACCCTCTGCCTCAAAATCACCCCCCCCAAAAAAAGGTTAGCATGGAGGGGACTGGATGGAGGAAAAAAAAATCCATGGAAATGCAGACACCCCCCCCACAAGCCTCTGGGCCCTCCGTCTCATGAGGTTTGGGGTCAGAAGAAAGGATTTTCCCTCCCCAGAGAGCTAGAGAGAGAGAGAGAAACAGAGAAAACAGGAAGTCAGCGGGAGCAGAGGACAGGCTAAGGGGCCAAGGACAGGGTCCTGGTACCCAGGGCGGGGGGTATCCGCCGCCAGCGTGGTGCGCCGGGAAGGACGGGTGGAGCTGCTCGGTGTCACGGGGTTCCTCGACGTGAGGGATTGTGTCACAAGCCTGGGTGGGAAGGAAGGGACACCTCAGCACGGTGGGTAGAGAGTACCGAACGAAGCAGCAAGGGATCGCTCTGCGCCCGTGGAAAAGGAGACGCCAACAGGCAGAGAAAGAGCCTGGGGTGTTTTCCCCCTGACTACTTCCAGAGTTGGACTCTCAGGGCTCCCTCTTTCCTCCTTCTCCCTCTGATACGGCTTTCCATTCCAGCTTCTCCTTTGAGAAAGAGCCGCCCACAAGCCTGCCTGCACAGAAGCCACCACTAGGGGGCTCCTCCGCCTCCGTTTAGGGCTCTTTATATTTTGGCATTATCGATCAACAATTTGAGAAATTGTGACATTTTCTTTCTTTCTTTCTTTCTTTCTTTCTTTCTTTCTTTCTNTTTTTTTTTTTTTTTTTTGCCCCAGACGGATCTGTTCTTTTCAATGGCCACACTGCCAAGGATCCTACGTGGCCCATCATCCTTTTTGCCCTCCTCAAATGCACAGGATGATTTTGGGAATTCCCCCGGAAGGGTGAAAGCCTGCCATTCTCAATGGGGGAAATGTCAGATCCTAGAAACGGAGGGGGCAGCAGAGAAGAAGCAGGGAGGCTCTGAGGCCGTCGGGGACCCAAGAGGGCCTCGGGATAAAAATCAGGGCATGCCCTGCCCGCATTAGAAACTAGAAGTGACGAGTTACAGATAACTAGTTACATTCATGCTCTTATAGGTCGCTAGTTACATTGGAGCAGCAAGGAATGTAATTAGTAGCTGCAAAGTTAATTTCCAGACCTAACAAGCGATGCGTTAAAACATTTTTGGAATGAAGCCGAAGCATTCAGGCGTGACGATGCCTGAGAATATGCCTTAAGTCTGTTTCCGCAAAAACAGAAACGAAGGTCACAAGGGGTTTTTTGATTAAGACCACCAGGTGTAAGTCAGGAGGGACTTTTGCTGGTCTCTGGGCCCCGTCTCCCAAGGAATGGCGCGGGTGGAGAAAGGACCATCACGCACCAGCCCATTTCCCTCCGCTGTCTCGCCGCTTCCGGAAGAGGGACGTCAAGCCGTGTATTGTGCGTGTTGGGAAGACTCATTGGGGGGGGCAGTTCGCTCGTCCGCCTCTGATTTCCTGCGTCGCCTTGCATTGGAGGGAGGAAGTCTTTGAGCAGGGGGACCTGGGGCCCTGCGTCTGCCGTCCAGGGGCTGATCCCCCCCCCCCGGGCAGAAAAAACCTGAGCAGGAAGGCAGTTACGTCTGCCCCTAAAGGCAGGAGCCGATCAGGGGGAAATCTGGGACCCCGGGGAGACATTGTTTAAACTCCTGCCAACGCTTCTCCGTTACACATGGAAACAGCACGCACGCCCTATGACAACGATATCACAGTTCACACAATCCCAACACACAATTTTTTTTGTTGCATCGTGTCTAAGAGTAAGTTAAGTTGTCTAGAGATGGAACTTGGGTCGCAGTGGTTCAACTGCAGTACAGTAAGGGCCCCCTGTATCCATGGAAGGTCAGTCCCACATGTGCCCCCCCAGCAGATGCTGAAAAAAGTGGATTATAGCAAACACTAAACCTAGCATGGTCTCTGGCTCCCTCTAGTGGCCAGTTCTAGTAATGACATCCTGGAAATGTATTTCTCTAGTCTAGTGCAGTGGTCCCCAACCTTGGGCCTCCAGATGTTGCTGGACTACAACTCCCAGAAGTCTTCACCACCACCTCTGCTGGCCAGGATTTCTGGGAGTTCAAGTCCAAGAACATCTGGAGGCCCAAGGTTGGGGACCACTGCACTAGACTAGAGAAATACATTTCCAGGATGTCATTACTAGAACTGGCCACTAGAGGGAGCCAGAGACCATTTCTGGGGATTTTCCTTTTCATATTTTTAATAATTTTCAGACCATGGATAAGTCAATCCGTGGATGCTGACCCTGTAGATAAGAGGGTCCAACTGTACCGCAGTGAAGACTCTGCTCAAGACCTGTTTGATCCCAACAAAGCTGGCCTGTGGTTGACTCAGCCTTCTTCCATCCTTCTGAGGTTGGTAAAATGAGGACCCAGCTCACGGCGGGGAAGGGGGGGGCAAAGGGTAGCCTGCCTAATTAAATTGTTCACCACCCAGAGAGTGTCGTAAGCACCATGGGGGGGCAGTCCAGAAGCCGCTCGCTTTTCACTGCTTTAGAGAGATTGCACAGAAAGGGTTGTGGCTCTTTGGTCGGCCCCGGATTGTGGGTTTCACGGGGGGGGGGGCACTGCTGGCGCTGCCCTAGCCCCGGCCTCCTGCCCCCCCCCCGGC